TACTGTATTCTATATATAGTACCAGTCAAATGTTTGGACACACGAATGGGAAAGTGTCCAAACTTTTGACTGGTATTGTACTATAATATACACGAAGATATATCGATATCGGCCTTTTTTAACTCCCTAATATCGGTATCGGCCCCAAAAAACCCATATCGGTCGGGCTCTAATATATATACAACAGTTCGTTCTGGTTCTCAAATCTGATTGGTTGAGAACTGTGAGATATTGTACTGGTATCGCTACAGGAACGGCCTTTCACAATTTTGTATTACTCCGCTTGTTCTAGCCGGGTGTATGTTTTTTTTTTTATTATTCACTGAGCTAATCGTAGAGTACATTAGTTCATATAAGAAGAAACGTCTAGCTTCGCGGTCTCTCTCTCTCTCTCATTTGGATGCATACGTACACATTTAGCACTCTAAAATTGGGCTGAAAGAATGTTCTACTGAATTGCGAGCGTAATCAGTGAGTTTTTTTTTTTTACTCTGTATAATTTCTGTGTAGATCTGATCCTTTTATTTTCCCGTCCTTGTACGAATCTCTTGTATTTGCTGGAAACCATGTGGAGGTGATTGTGTGTTTCCGAGAAGCATGTGTCGGCCTTGGTCTCAACAAACACGATTGTCCACTTGATTGCCAAGAATTCATTAGAGTCTAGAGGACTCGTTCGGCTATTAACAGTGGCTTTTTTCAATCGTTTGCCACTGTTATGTTCCTGTTAAGAGTTTGCTAAATCTGTTACGAGTGGCTCTTCAACGTCAACATAATTGCTTCACATCCTCACAGTCCAGCAACAAGAGCGCATGCAGACACTTTAGCATGGATGGTAATACATAGAGCCACATTAGCAGCGGCTGCTCATTACTGTGATGCGTCTGTGCATCCACCGTATTGAAGAGGACATGATCAACCTGTAAACACATGCAAGTGAATTGACAGATGCAGCAGTCTTTTCCCAAGATTTTCACGAGATTTGGTTTGCCATCCATGTCAGGCAATTTGCATATTGTAGATTAGCAAAATGCAAAATGTCACACTTCTGTATGAGGCTGTGTTGGGAAGTGACTTAAAATGCCCACTGATACTGGTCTCTTAAAAAGCATTGAGAAGTTTGTTTCAATGCTTCATTTAATTGGTTCACTATTTCAACTACTACTACTACAAAAAAAAATTTTTTATATGTGTTTATATATATGTATATGTGTGTGTGTATATATATATATATATATATATATAAATACATTTTTGCTTTGGTACATTTTTCTTTTTCTTTTTGCAAGTCTCTTATGCTCATCAAGTATGCATTTATTAGATTTTTTTTTAAGTAAAAAATGTATTATGAAATATTGCATTTTAAAATAACTATTTAATATTTCTTAGTGTCATTTTTTTCCTTTGGTTAAGCTGATTTTTCTCATTTTAATTTTTATTGCTCAAGAAACATTTCTTATATATAATTACATTTTTTATACATATATAAGGGTTAGGGCAATATTGTGAAATATTGCATTTTAAAATGATTACATTTAATAAATTTACTATTTTACTATTTCTTTAAAAGTATATATTTTTTCACTTTGTTGAGCTAATTTTTCTGATTTTAATTTATATAGAATTTATATTAAGAAAGATTTATTATATATAATTTTAGTTTTTATACATAAATAATGCTGCTTAACATTTTGTGTAAACATGATAGTTTATTTATTTAGTTGTAAATAGAGAGTTCAAAATACAGCATTTATTTTAAATGGAAATATGTTGTAACTTTATAAATGTCTTTACAATCACTTTTGATGTGTCCTTGCTGAATAAAATTATAGTGTATATTTTAAGTTGTTTATATTAGTGTATATTATGTGTTTTTTTTTGTTTGTTTTTTTGGTAAAATGTGTTTTTAAGACTGACATTATGTTAAAATGATTACAAATTCTAAAAACATGCCTTTAGCTTCAGTTTGGGGTCAGATGAACTTAAAACCAGCCTAATTAAACAGGGTTTTTCTAAGACATTTGGTTGACTAGTCGATTTTGAAATGAAGTAGTTTTTCACACCCTTATGATGAAGTTGCACACTTCCTTTTGAATTTAGTTGCTCTGCGGTAATGCTGAGAACCCCTGACAGTGCCAGGGCAAAGTGTTACGCTGGCGCACCTCGCTTTACTAAAAACACCCTACTGAAGGCCTGTCAGATTGATGTTTAGAAAAGATTTTTCTATTTCCCTAATTTTTCCCCCTCGTAAGATACGGTTATACGATCCACTTTGACGTGAGCTAAAGCCTCTCTAAACGTCATGTGTTGATTTTATGGCAATAAGTGATGGCCAAAGACAACCCCGCATGTTGTTGTGCTGTTAAATGATCTCTGTAGCAGGTTGCTCTTGCTAAATCTGCCATTTATTGCTCTCAACTGTATTTAAAGCATTTTTCCATCCTCGCTGCTGGGCGAGAGGCAGTCCAATAGTCCCGGATAATTTATCAGGCTCAAAGAATTAAGTAAGCTACATGGCGGCAATGAATTGTTCTATTACTCTTCACGCCGTCCGCTCCTATTATCTTTCCACTTTGCTGTAATCCTGCCTATTTTTGGCCCTCTACTTTATGCCGAGTTGAGTTTGACAGCCATCCTCTCTCGCTCTAAAGCACGAGTGGGTATCCAGTGTGTAGGCCGGTGACTCGCTGGCAGAGACGAGCGTTTCATCACATGCTAATTGAGCAATAGATGCCGATGATAAGTGCCTGCTTACGGCGGCGTCTGCTACATTCACCTGTCTCCTCCATTAGAGGCTGGTCTCTCTCGCTTCTACACCAGCACAGAATCACAGGAGTGGGCCTTTGTTTTTCCTTCATTGCCCTTGTTTTCCTCCATTAGCCATGTTTGTGTGCTTGTCCCTGTTATCTCAATCTGTTCTCTGACTGTCCTTCCCTGCGACCTGTGTTGCAGATATTTAGCTTGCTCTTTAGGTACAACACAATTTGATCCAATTTCAGTTCAGTTCTGATGCATTTTCACTACCGATCAATAATTTGGAATAATTGTATATTTACAATTAATTGCTCATGAATAATGATTTTTTTGTTGTTTTTTTACACAAAAGCTGCATTCATTTGATCAAAAATAAAGTAAAACAGTAATAGTGTGAAATATTGTTACAGTCTAAAATAACAAGCATATTGTAATGAATTCTGAAGGATCATTTGACACTAAGACTGGAGTAATGATGCTGAAAATTCAGTTTTGCATTACAGTAATAAATTATATTATATTAAAATAGAAAAGTTATTTTAAATTGTAATATTATTTATTATTATTACTGTTATTTTTAATGTATTTTTGATTAAATAAATCCAACATTGTTGAGCATGAGAGATTTTTTTTTTTTAAATCCCAAAATTTGACCGATATTGTAGGTTCTTTCTGACCTGTCAGTACAATTAGTATAAGAAAGTTCAATAACCTGTTACTTTATTTTTATTGTATTTTTTTATTTTTTTTTTGTATTTAATTTATTTATATTTATTAATATTGTTCATTGCCACATTAGCGTGACCCTTTATTTGTCATTGTTAATTAGTGCATGCCTTGGTTTCTTTGTCTGTGAGCAAGAATGATCAACTTGCAAGTGTTACATCGTGTCCTGTGATCGTGATCCATATATAAATATATTCATGCCACCTCAGTGGTGCTTTAAAAAACTAAATGTTGTGGCATCATGCACCAAGACAAGAGTCTGTTATATTTTGTCATATATACTATATGCATTGTTGATGCACAGAATTAATTACTCTTAATATGAAAATCTGATTTAATTTATTTAATTTGATTTATTTTGATATTATTTTATTTTATTTTATCCATAATCTTTTTATGCTGAAATATACATACGTAAGCTGAAATCAAGCATTTTATTTATTTATTTTTTATTTTTTGTAAAACATTGTTTTCTCAATTCAGTGAAAATAATTAAAACACAATATTTTTGGATGTTGGTATGCAATGGTTCTGTCAATCAGCCAATGCTCGTATTCTCACAATGGGCAAATACTGGACAGTATTTCAGTCTGGGTGTAAGATGCTCAATCACCTTGGCTTATGTGTGTTTTTTTCAGTGCGGGACCCAAGGGCGACAACATCTATGAGTGGAGATCCACCATTCTGGGCCCTCCAGGTTCAGTCTATGAGGGAGGCGTGTTCTTTCTGGATATCACCTTCTCTTCCGATTACCCCTTCAAGCCACCAAAGGTACAGTATGAGAAAACATCTTCCCTTTTTATTCATTCTTTTTGAGGTTTGAAAAAGTGGATGCTTAATCCTGCTTCTAGAGAGTTTCCTTCCTACTTTGGTTACTTACAGCTCTAATCAAAGTCTTGAAAATTACAGGCAAGTGTACCAGGATGGAGGTTTGGAACTAAACTCTTAAGGCTCTGTTTCAAAACCTAGTGAGCGGTCATGCTTTTTACTGCCTATATAGGCTGCTGCCTTCTAAGAGAGAATTCTGACTGACAAAGCAGCTTATAAGTGAATGATACATGAAATACTTATGAATGCCTTAGAACTTGGCCAGAAGAAGGCGTCTTAGAAGGCAGCATCATCATGCTTTCAGAAGCTGCATAGGCAGCTCATTACGTTTCGCAACTGGGTCTCAATATAAATGCAAAATCAAATGCATTGGAACATATTTGGAAGCACTTCAGACTCAGTACATCAAAGCTGTTCTTGAATATGGGGCAGAACATAAAACAGCTGTATCAGCCGTTTAATGCGGTTCTTCAGAATAGAAGTTCATGAATCAAAGTCCCATGACATTTCTAACCTATATGAAAGTAAATTATAATTTAAGCATTATACTGTATAATCTGAAAGTTATTTACATTTATTTACTATGTATTCCACTGCTTTTAATTCTACATCAACTAATGTTGGATATTTAAAGGGTTTTTTGTTGCGTGTCCATATGGCACAATGGTTAAAATGTTGTCCTAACCACACTGAAAAAAAAAAGGTTGGCTTTGAAACAATTTTCAGTTCAATTGCTAGTAAATTCACAAATAAAAACAAAGAAATGGCAAATAACACATTGAATTAAACATGAACTTTTAAAGTAGAAAGACTGAAATAGTATTTTCTTGTAAAACATAACGTTTTGTTTACAACATCAAAAAAATCATTTTTTACAGTGCAAGCTCTGATACATGTTGTAAAAAGCTGAATTAAAAATAAGAATATAATAATTACATGAGACAAATATACATAGTAGTACAATAATCCACACATACAAAAGTCCTTATTTTTAAAATGTAATTTAATTCTGGAATTAAAGTTTTTGGATTTATAAAATAAAAATGTTATTATGTAAAATTTCTAGGTCACCAATCTTACTACTCTTTTATACAGATGGTAAGATATTCTTGCGTTCATTAAAGTTCAAGATGGAGAACAAAGCTTTTCAATGAAAATATGTCTGCCGATATAATTTGTAATGGGGAAAAAGCTATTAAACTATTATTGTAAAATACAAAATTGAAGCATTTTCACAAGTAGACTCTTGAACCCTTTGGTGTATGTGTGTTTTGCTATTATTAGTCTCTAGTCGGTCACAAAGAGCAGTGGCCTTTAATTAAGATGTATTAGCTCTACCAAGGACACTCTGAGACAGATCATTCAGAACGGGTATTGATTGACCTCTGTTAAAATACCTCAAGGATCATGTGAAGCTGAACGATTATGTTTGTTTTGTGTGCTGCATAATTGAACGTACTCCTTCGAGCACCGGCTATTTCCAGCGTAAAGCAATTAGCGAGATGCCGACAGGCAGAGATGTGGTTTTGGGAAGCTGGTTTACTACGGCTCCAGCTATAAAGGTGAAAAAGTCAACCACGGCATTTCGGATTAATTAGTATCCGAATCACCTTCCTCAGCATGTTTGGGAGTTTGCGCCGCTCCGAGTGGCTCTCCGCCTCAGTCTGGCCATCATCTCGATCGTCAGTGGCATCTGTAAACAACAAGTTTATATAAAGCTCATGGGCTGGAGAGGGCTCTTTGTTCAGATCAAGCCACTGCAAAGCTCTAATCCACTAATTATAAACAGGATTCATCCTCTGAGTGCAGAGCCGGCGGCCCGCACCCCCTCATTCTTTTGTCACCAGATGAAACGCAGGGCAACTTGGGGGCCGATCTCGCCTACGTTCGTTTGGGCCGGTGCTCTGTGAAGTTGTTGCCCGTGCGGCTTGGTTTGTGGTCTGCTAATCTGTGCTTTTGTGAATGAGTCTGTCTGTGTTTGGAAACAGGGTGGAAAAGACCGAGAGACAGGCGTTTCATCCTAAAAGTCTATCTAGAAATAAGAGTATCGATTAACTCGAGCTGTAAAAAAAAAAAAAAGGCT